CCCCCCAGCCCCGACCTCCGCCTGGGAGCGTGTTCGCGGCTGGCTTGCTGACTCCAGGGGTCAACCCTCGCGACCTCCCGAAGAAGCCCACGCCGGCATCAGCCCCATTTGACAAGCAGGAAAACCGAGGCCCAGAGAAGCGAAGTGGCCTGCCCAGCGTCTCACAGTAGCCAGGGAGGACTGTTCACCCACGCTTGTGGGGCACTAGTGGTTGAGAGGAAAAGCCCCCCACACTCCGCGGGGCCAGCGTCGCGCAAAGCCTCAGATCTCCTCCTGCTGGGTGGGGACGTGACGCAAGGGGAAGATGGGGACAGGATGAGCTGGGAGGTGTCAGACCCGCACAATGAGTAAGTGTCTCCGAGCACAGGTTCCTTCAGGTGGCCTCGAATCCTCTCCATCCCCGCCTGCCACCCTCCACCCCAGACGGGCTTAGTAGTCACCTTGGCTTTCCCTGTCCTGAGAGGCTGCTGCCACCCTCGAGGACAGTCTTCTAAATGGCTGTCTCTGCATTCAACATGTCCTCGCAGAATAGACAGCAGGATCCTTACTGGACTGTGAGTGAGTGATGGACAAGAGAAATCTGTGTGAGTGTAAAGGGCAATCAGTGGTCCCCCAAAGGCTCCTGCTGGTCCGAGTTCAGACCTGGGACGGAGGGAAGTGAAAGACGAGGAATCATCTTGCGGTCTCTCAACCACTGGCTAGCTGTCACCAGGGGGTCAGCAGCAGTGTCCTGTTCACATCTGCGAGTTAATAAAGCACTTTGTCACTCTTTTTTTTTTTTTTTTTTTTTTTTTTTGTGAGACGGAGTCTCGCTCTGTCGCCCAGGCTAGAGTGCAGTGGCCGGATCTCAGCTCACTGCAAGCTCCGCCTCCCGGGTTCACGCCATTCTCCTGCCTCAGCCTCCCGAGTAGCTGGGACTACAGGCGCCCGCCACCTCGCCCGGCTAGTTTTTTGTATTTTTTAGTGGAGACGGGGTTTCACCAGGTTAGCCAGGATGGTCTCGATCTCCCAAAGTGCTGGGATTACAGGCTTGAGCCACCGCACCCCGCCTTTGTCACCCATTTGTCACTCAAATCCAACTCCCTGTGCAAAAGTGTAACTTTGGCCGGACGCAATGGCTCACCCCTGTAATCCCAACACTCTGGGAGGCCGAGGCGGGCGGATCATTTGAGGTCAGGAGTTTGAGACCAGCCTGGCCAACACGGTGAAACCCTGTCTCTACTAAAAATACAGAGATTAGTTGGGTGTGGTGGTGCGCGCCTGTAATCCCAGCTACTCATAAGGCTGGGGCATAAGAATCGCTTGAACCCGGAGGCAGAAGTTGCAGTGAGCCGAGATGGAGTCACTGCACTCCGGCCAGGGCGATAGAGCGAGACTCAGTCTAAAAAAAAAAAAAGAAAGAAAGAAAAGAAAAAAGTGTTACTTTATATGGACGATTCTGAGGCCCATGGAGGGGAAGTCTTGGACACCCAGGGCTGTGCTATTTCCATTACGACAATGCAGCTGACTCAATCCTCACCCCCAAGGCACTTCTCTTCCCCTTTCCTCCTCCAGGAAGCCAGGGCTTGCCAATTGAAAGTGGCTAAGGCTCCACAGCCCAGTGCCCCCATATGAGCTATATGAGGAGTCTACCTTCACCTCCACTCCCTAGCCCAGGCAGACGCTCAGTAGGCCCCACTTCCTCCCAGCAGCTAGCCCTGCCCCAGTGGGAGTTCCTCGGGCCCAAGAAGGAAGGTTCTTAGGGCAGGGAGCTATGCCCAACACCCACTCCCTCCAATGACTCAGTTCCAGAGCAGGCTGGGGGCTGATTGACTGAATCCACAGTGTGTGCTGGGCCCATACTGGGCACAGGAACACAGTACTAATGGAGACAAGTCAGGCCTCTGCCCACCAAGCCCCCTGCAGTGATGGTAGCAGTTCTGGTGGATGCTGCTTCATCCAGCTGGCAAGGGGATAGGGGCCACCTCAGAGAAAGTTTCCCAAAGGACCTCTGAGCTGAGAACTGTCACTGTGACAGAACAGAAATGTACCAGGGTGGGGCAGGCCCAATTCAGTCTATGGGGCCACTTTCTTACCCTCACCAGTTGATGCCTCAGAGGATTTTAAAGTCTAAAATTGGACAAAACAAAGCGCATACACTCTATTCCCCAACCCACTCCTGGGTGGGGGAAAGCCTTGTCCTACAAGTATTTTCACAGAAGCTCTGGGCAACCAGATGTCATAGGCGGTCTGTTGCACAGCTTAGCCATTTTCTATTTTCAGAGCCATGTGGAACCACATGGCAATCCCATCCTCTCTGTTCCAAGGTGGCCTGAGTGTTCCTTCAGTGCTACCAGGCTCTTTTGACTTCCAGGGCTCCTGAGCGCCTCACTCTTGCCTGGATCTTAAGCCAATGTCTCCTGGTTTACTCCCTCATTTTGCTGAAGTGCATCCTTCAACAACTTTCCAAGAAATGGTGACTGGGAGGTACTTTCCCGAGAGAGATTATTTATCTATCTTTTTCTGTGAATGGTCTGTTTGTATCCTTTGCCAAACTTTCTACTGGGCCATTCGTCTTTTTCTGTTTTTTCTTTTTTTTTTTTTGATACGGAGTTTCACTCTTGTTGTCCAGGCTGGAGTGCAATGGCATGATCTTGGCTCCCCGCAACCTCCACCTCCCAGATTCAAGCAATTCTCCTGCCTCAGCCTCCTGAGTAGCTGGGATTACAGGCATGTGCCACCACACCCGGCTGCCACTGGTCTTTTTCTTATTGGCTTATAAGAGTTCTTTATATATTAGAGAAATCAGCTCTTTATTTTGAAATGAGTTACAAGTATGCTGTTTGTAACAAGTTACAGTTTGTTATTTGTGTTTTGGCTGTGATGGTGGCTTTTTCCATATAGACTTCATTTTTAATGCAAATGGATTATTGATCTTTTCATAAATGAAAATAAAAATGTCAGGAACCCCAAATTTGTTATGCTAAAGGGAGAGTTAAGCTTGGAGACTGAGTCACACACACTGGCATTCCTTTTTTTTTTTTTTTTTTTTGAGATGGAGTCTTTCTCTTCTGTCACCCAGGCTGGAGTGCAGTGGCATGATCTCAGCTCACTGCAACCTCCGCCTCCCGGGTTCAAGCAATTCTCCTGCCTCAGCCTCCCCAGTAGCTGGGATTACAGGCACCCGCCACCATGCCCGGCTAATTTTTGTATTTTTAGTAGAGACAGGGTTTCGCCATATTGGTCAGGCTGGTCTCGAACTCCTGACCTCAGGTGATCCACCCGCCTCAGCCTCCCAAAGTGCTGTGATTACAGGCATGCTAGGATTACAGGTGTGAGCCACCGCACCCGGCCTCTTTTCAAATTTTTTAAAAAATTTTATTCCGGCAACACTTAATTCTATGCTGTAGAACTAATGTTCTCCAAAACTGTCATTCTTTTCCCAAATGGATACCTGTTACCTTGCAACCTTGTGTCAAAATATTATGCATTAACCAGATCTCCATAAAAAGGCACAAAGCCTCACGCATCTCCAGGTGACTGCACTCACAAATTGCTCATCAGTAAATTCTTTGCCAGTCCCTAAAACTTTCAAGATGTATATCCTCCTATAAAACAAGCACATGTCAATTGCAACTTTAGGTCTGCAACCTAAACCTAACTCCTAAAACCAAAGTCTGTTAAATTTCACACTGACAATGTCAATTACAAGTTTATCTGCCCAGGTGCAGAACAAGGATAGGATGAGATCAATCATTCCTCCACCTACCCTGAGACCTCTGCATAATTGGCTCTTCTGTTACTCCCTGTTCTTCCAGTGCTCAACCTATCTTCCATATAGCCTAGATTTACGGGACACTAATTAAGAGTCTCACAAAAACATAACCATTTGCCTCACTGTCTTCTCCCCTTTATTAAAGAAATGTACAAATATTGAGCCTCCTGAAAACTTCTTGGGAGAGCACAGGCCACAGATGTTTCTGTGACTTGTGTTGCTTTCCTGGGCACGCTCAAACTCTGGCTCAATAAACCTCGACTGATTGAAGCTCTTGCCTCAGTCTCTTATTTGGTTAAGATTTTCTTTTTTTTTTTCTATAGACTAATTTTGGATGTGAAAGATTTTCTTTGATGGTTTCTGTGTTTGGTGACACAGAAGTTTCCTCCACTCCAAGATTCTACAAACTGCTCCCTTTGTTTCTTCAGTATTTTTAAATTATTTTAGAGAGGGTCTCACTCTGTCACCCAAACTGGAATGCAGTGGTGTGATCAAGGCTCACTGCAGCCCTGACCTCCTGGGCTCAGGTGATCCTCCGGCCTTAGCCTCCCCAAGTAGCTGGGACTACAAACGTGTGACTGTGCCTGGCTAATACATATCTATCTTTTAATCTATCTGTCTATAGATACGTATATGTACAGATGGGGTCTTGCCATGTTGACCAGGCTGGTCTTGAATTCCTGGTCTCCAGCAGTCCTCCTGCCTTAGCCGAGTAGCTGGGACTGCAGATGTACATCACCATGCCTGGCTAATTTAAAAATAATTTTTTTTGGTAGAGATGGAGTCTTACCATATTGTTGCCCAGGCTGGTCTCAAACTCCTAGGCCCAAGAGATCCTCCCACCCTGGCCTCCCAAAGTGTTGGGATTACAGGCATGAGCCACTGCACCTGGCCCCCAACTTCTCGAATAAAGGAAACTATGATTCTTGGGCACACTCACTACCATGTGACATTGATCAAATCACTTCACCTCTCCAAACCTCAGAGTCTTTATCTCTAAGACGGAAACAGTAACACCTACTTCAGGGGCTGTCATGAGGATTAAATAAATGTGCCCAGCAGGTAGTAAGTGTACAAAACAAAGCCTCTAATGGTTCATTAATACATTTGCTTATTTTGCAATTATTGGCCACCTGCCAATGCTGGGCACTGTTCTAGGCACAGGGGATACAGCAAGGGCAAACACCTAACACTGGTGGAGGGAAGACAATAAACAAATACGTAAAGGTATGTGCCAGGTAGTGATAAAAGCAAAGAATGACCCATGGAGAGGGTCAGCTGGGTAGACCACACAGTACCCTACCTTGTCACAGTTTATCCAGTGAGGGACACTTTTACAGGGCACATGACCTTAATCTTTTTCATTAATCTTGGTTAATTCATTTCCAGGAGGTCAAGTCTCTTGTAGTTCTGTGGAATCACCAACTGCTCCTGTGGATGTGGCTTGGTCTGAGCTGATGTAACAAGTAGCTCTGTGTTGCTGGCACTATTTGGCTGGAGCAGGGTTCAGTGTGGGAGGCCTTGCCTGTGAACTGTTCCAGATGGCAAGCTGCAGGGCTGCATAGCACTCTATTTTCCACTGTGAGTGCTTGAGGGGACAGTGATTAGCTGATGACACAGGCCCAGTCCTCAGGGTGAGCACAGGAAGATGAATAAGAAAACCCTTCAATTCTGTGTATGCTGGGTTCTCTGGGGATGAGAAACTCAGGGGTTGGGGGGCACAGAGGAGGCCTCAATGCAGGCTAGTGAGCGTGGGGAGCAAGATAGTAAACGGAGCTGAAGCTGGGGCCAGATGCCAGGTAGGCCACACACTTCATCATCACATCTCTTAGCAATCCCAGCCCAAAAAGCTGGCCTCCTTTCCAATCTTCCCAGCCAAAGTCCCTGGACAAGCTGATTGGACCAACCAGAGTCAGATGCTCATCCCTGACTCATCACAGTGGCCTGGAAGATGCCACATGTTGACTGGATGGTAGCAGCAGGCAGGTACTGGTATCAGTAAGGCAAGGCTGCTGGATATAGACACAGGTCATTAGGACATGGGAAGTTCCTCAGACTCACCAGGCTCTGGCCCTCTTTCAACCTCTGGGCCTTTGCACATGCAGTGCTCTCTTCTCAGAAAGCCTTTCTGGCTGGGACTAGCGGCTCACGCCTGTAATCCCAGCACTTTAGAAGGCCATAGGCAGGAGGATTGGTTGAGCCCAGGAGCTCCAGAGCAGCCTGGACCACATAGGGTGACCCTCTTTTTTAATAATAATAATAATATATATATATTTTTTTTAAAGAAAACCTTTCCACCAGGCGCGGTGGCTCACACCTGTAATCCCAACCCTTTGGGAGGCCGAGGCGGGCAGATCACCTGTAGTCAGGAGTTCGAGATCGGCCTGACCAACATGAAGAAACCCCGTCTCTACTAAAACTACAAAATTAGCCAGGCATGGAGGCGCATGCCTGTAATCCTAGCTACTCGGGAGGCTGAGGCAGGAGAATCTCTTGAACCCGGGAGGCGGAGGTTGCAGTGAGCCGAGATCGCGCCATTGCACCCCAGCCTGGGCAACAAGAGCAAAACTCCGTCTCAAAAAAAAAAGAAAGAAAGAAAACTTTTCCCTCCACTCTGCTGGGCTGTTTCATTCTCCCCTCTAGGTTTCCAATCTTCGCCTTCTCCTGGCAGCCCCTCACATTGTCTCGACGGGCTCTTACCACCATCTAGCGGGTGAGGCGGGCCTGGGCTCTCACCGTGAGGGCAAAGCCTAGCGGCCATGACCACACCGAGGTACCCAGGACCCCACGGGAGGCGCTCAAGAAACGGCCCCTGGGGAAGAGCTGGCACACGCACGCACGTGCGCACGCCCATCCACAAGCAGACCCCTTCCTGGGTGCAAACCCGGGTACGCTGCGACCCGCTCCTATTCGGAAACCCACCTGGCTTGGGGGGGCACAGGTCGGGCGCGCGCGCACGATCCGCCCCACCCACAGACCACCGTGATCAGGGCGCACACACACGTGCGTCCTCCCACGCACGCTCCGTCACACGCAGGCCCCCTCTCCTGCCACAGAGGAACGCGCTGGCGTGCGCACGGCGGATCAATCAGCCTTAGACCCACCCGGACCGACGCGCAGGCTGCGCGCACGCGCGGCTCCGAGTCCCCGCCCCCCGGCCGCGCCTGTCGGGGGCGGGGCGCCGCTGGGGGCGGGTCCTGCGGCACCGCCCGGGAAGCTGCGCGAGGCTCGACAGCCTCCGCCACATCCTTCTCCTCTCTTGGTCCAGCGAGCGGAGGCGGGCCAGGGTCAAGTGGAGGGCTCCGACGGCGCGGACGGAGCGAAGCGCCGAGCCATGGCGCACCAGACGGGCATCCACGGTGAGGGCGGATGGCGGGCGGGCAGGGGGCCTGGGTCTCGGCTCTCGGAAGCGCCCCCTCCCCGGCTCTCGGCCCCTCCCTCCACCCCGCACCAGCCGGGAGAAGCTTCCTGTTCTCTTTTGCAGCCGTGGGTCGCCTGGGGTGGGCACATCTGGGGGAGTACGGACGTGGTGTGCATAGCTGGGAGTGGGTGTACATGTACGTACACAGCTGGGGTGGAAGTATCTGTGTGCCTACCTGGAGATGAATGTGGCTGTGTGTGCCCATCTGTATATTTTTGTTCCTTTCCTGTAGTGGGTGTACACGCATGTGTACCCGTCTTCCGTGTACAGTCCTACGTGTGCACCTCTCTATGTGACTCCCTTGTGCACATCTAAGGGTCATTCATGCACTGGCACTTGTGGCTGTTTGGACACTGTAGGTCGCATAGGACCCTCTTTAGACATCAGTGTTTCATGGCAGTGTGCACATGTATGTGGGTGTCTGTGTGTGTGCATAGTTGGAGCGCATCTCAGTGTGCATTTGTTGCCAAGGATGCATATACCGCATGTGTCTTTATGACTTGAATGGGTTTGTGTATGTGTGAGGGGACCCTGACCTTTGCTCCTCCCAGGACACTCACTCTCCCCAGGCTGGGGAAAACCCAGAACAGAGACTGCTAAGTGGGATGGAGAAAGCTGCCTATCTGACCTTGACCTCTGACCTCCCTCCCATTTTCCATTGTGACTTTCTGAGCCTGTCTCAGTCTGGTTGGAAGATCCCAGCTCCAGACTGCAGACAGGGAAGAGGTCCAGATATGGGGTTTGTGGGGGAGAGTCCTGGCCCTAAATAATCCAGGCCAGCTCCCACCCCCGCCCCCCCCCTAATCCCTAGGAAGCTTCACCATCCCCTAGCATCACACACCCCCTCCCCCAGGGGTCCCAGTTTCCTTCTTGGACGGGCTGTGAGAGAAGCAATGGCCAGGAGCCAGGTGCCCTGACTCTACCTGGGGCTCAGTGTCCTCATCTGTCACTGACCTGGGAGGGCTGCCTGGCCTGTGGGGAAGGCCCAGGCTGTTTGCCCAGACAGCCTGGCTGGTTTGGCCATCAGCCACCCCTCCCACCGCACTAGGATCCCCTGCTTGGGGCTGCCACCATCGACCTGCCTGACCACCTGAATCCTGGTGCGGTTGTGGCCACTTGGTGGCTGGGCTGCCCTGAAAAGGTTTCCCTGGCCCTGCGAAGGCAGAGGCCTGGGTCAGGGCCAGGCCTCCCAGATGGGCCAGCCTTTCTCCAGGAGGAGCTGGCAGGCGGGCTTCATGACTCAGCCCCACAGGAGGGAACTGCCTCGTGGCCAGCTTCTTCCTTCCCCTTTGTCTGGTCATAGCTGCTGCCTCCCGGCCTCCAGCCCTGGTGGAGGAGATCCCAGGAAGTTAGCCACCCCATACCCCTTCCCTGCTGCCTCACTCCCTCATTACCCATAGTGAGACAGGCCCACTGAGGGGGTCACTGGGGACTGGGCTGCCCCCAGTCCTCCTTCCGCCTGTGAGCAGCCCACTCCTTCCCATTTCTGGCTGGGGGAGTTGGCAGGAGAGATCACCCTGGAGGACCAAGTGCCAGCCCTGTCCTGACCATAGGTGTGGATCTGCTGACCTCAGAGCAGGGCAGGAAAGGGACCTGTAACGTGAGGCTCACCGGAGTCGGAGGGAGGGTGTTCATGAATCATTGATAATAGAGGCTCAGGTGTCCCAGGCCTGGTCTCTGGATTATTGATGGCGGCTGGGCAGGCATTGGGGCTGGGGTGGGCAGGGAGGTGTGCCTTCCCCTGCTGGGGTGTCAGTTTGCCCTGGTAACACTAGAAGGGGCCCGTCGGCCTGTCCTTTGGGAGAGCTTCTTGGTCTCCCTTCCGGGAAGGTCTGGGCAGGTAGAAGAGGCAGCTCAGCACAGTCAGCTTGCTGTTGTTATCGTAATAAAAGATTAATTGTTATTAGTAGAGGCCACCATTGCCAAGCCCTTTCTCCCATTTATTCCTCACCACAGCCCTGCCAAGTTTGGGGCTATTATCTCCATTTTATACACTGAAGTTCAGAGAGGTCAGGGGTCACCCAGCTAAGGGAGAGGTGGAGCCCCAGAGGCCAGGCTTGGGGCCTCAGGGACCTGCTTGGGATCTGCCAATGGAAAGTTCTGTCCTGGCCCAGTGGGACGGTGTCCATCTGCCTACAGTTCCATGCCATGTTTCTCTGAGCCCTAAGGGTCTGCTGAGCTCAGCTGGGCCCCAGCCCACCCAGTGGCCTTGGAGGGTGGTGCATAGCCTGAGGTCTCAGATTAACGGTCACTCTGCAAGGGGGGCACCTGAGGACATGACCAGAGTTTGTTTTCCTAAAGGCCCCCCCGCCCCTGAGTTGCCCAGTCCTGGCCCTATAAATATTCTCTGACCTCAGGCCTCCAGCTGTGTTCCTGATGGAATTCCCCTGACCCCTGGGCAGCCTCAAGGTCACTCTGGCCAAGCCCTGCTCACCCAGGGACCCAAGCAGGGACCTTCCCCGCATGGTCCGTGGTGGTTTCCCTGTCCACTAGTAGATCCACCACTTATGGCTCCCTGGCTCTCACCATGGTCCTCATCTCTGCCCTGGGGTCCTTGGTCACTCACTGGCTCTCACCTTCCAGCTCTACAGCCCAGTGGCCAAGATGGAGTCTCTCTCTCTTTTTTTTTCCTGAGATGGAGTTTCACTCTTGTTGCCCAGGCTGGAGTGCCATGGTGTGATCTCAGCTCACTGTAACCTCTGCCTCCCGGGTTCAAGCGATTCTCCTGCCTCAGCCTCCCAAGTAGCTGGGATTACAGGCGCAAGCCACCATGTGCGGCTAATTTTTTGTATTTTTAGTAGAGGCGGGGTTTCACCGTGCTGGCCAGGCTGGTCTTGAACTCCTGACTTCAGGTGATCTGCCCACCTTGGCCTCCCAAATTGCTGGGATTACAGGCACGAGCCACCGCACCTGACCAAGATGGAGTCTCTTAGTGAGTTTCCGGGGTCCACTCCTCCTGGAAGCTGCCCCAACTGCCTGAGGGTTAAAGGCGTCTTGTCCCCCTACCCCCCACAGGGCTGTGTCTGGGTTGGCTGTGGTTCCTCAGGGTCTCAGGGTTAGACAGCCTGGCTTGAGGGTTGGGACTGGGGCTGCACACATGGGTGTCATGTGTGTCCATGTGCTTCTGTGTACACTTTGATACATCCAGTTGCCTGCACACACGTCTCAGCCAAGCTCTGCACTTGCCTGCCTGTGTGCGTGTTAGCAAGCTGGGGACTATATCTCTTTGTGTGTTTGCGTATCTAAATGTGTGTGTCCATTTGTGTTTGAGCAACTGAGCGTGTGTTTATGTATGAGGGTGTTTGAATTTCTGCTCCTCTGTCGTACATCCATGTCATGTGTTACATTCACACATGCTGGATTGAGCTCTGTGTGTGTGTGTGTGTGTGTGTGTGTGTGTGTGTGTGTGTGAATGGGCATAGTGGTCATTACACAGTGGGGGCATTTGTCTGTGTTCCTTTGTCTGTGTATATGACCGTGCTGAGTGTGTCCAGGCCAGCCCAGAGCTCAGCCATCCTGGGGGGCAGGGGGCAGATGGAGGCTATTCACTGTGGCTGGCCTGGCTTATGCCAGAGCCTGCCCATCTTCTGATGAGCTGTCCCATCCCTGCCCACCCCGCCCCATCACCAGACCTATCCCAGCCAGCAGGCCACTCGCCTGCCACCTCTGCTGGCTAAATTTGGGAGCTTGTGTTCAGTGGCTGTCTCAGGTTCCCAGTCACATGGGGGGCTGTATTTAACCTGGTTCCCAGCTCAGCCACCAGACCCTGTGGGACAGAGCAGGCCCCATACTCGTCTCTGTCCACTCTGCCCACTCATCCCCCACCATGTTTCTTGTTCTTATAGCCACGGAAGAGCTGAAGGAGTTCTTTGCCAAGGCACGGGCTGGCTCTGTGCGGCTCATCAAGGTTGTGATTGAGGACGGTGAGTGCCCCTCACAGGCCAGGGCGTAGGCTTGGGGGTGGACTCTGCTGCCTCTGTGGGTGGGGGAAGGTAGATGTTGGCCCCTGGCTTGCTGGGGACAATTTTCCCCTCTGGAAATGAGTGTGAGGAAATCCTGACAAAGGAGAGCCTCACAGGGCAGCATCAGAGGTGAGTGCGACTGTCACCTCTGTTATGCAGAGCGGGAAGCCAAAGCTGGGGTCAGCAAACAGAGCCCTGTCCTGGGGTCCTGCCACCTCCCAGAGACTGCATGGGTATTCACATGGGCCTGGTCAGAATGCCGAGCTGGGCTGGGCAGAGGGGCAGGGGATGAGTGAATCCAGCACCGCCCCTTGTGGTTGGTGCCACCCACCCCTATCTGTGGCCTGGCCTGGCTCAGCTGCTGGCCGAGGGGAGCTCTAAGGAGATCCTGCACCCTTCTCTTGGAAATGCTCCCATGATGGGGAGAAGGGACGAGTGTCTGGCTCATCTGAGAGCAGGATGAGAGGGTTCTAGGCTTGGCTGGGTCTTGGCCTGGCCCCTGAGAATCTGGGAGCTGTATAGAGGGCAGTGCTGGGGGCGCTGGGACTTGAGCTGAGGCCTGAAGTGGGGAGGGTTTAGGGAGGCAGAGGATTAAACTGAGGAGGATTGGGAGGTCAGAGGACAGAGAACATTTTTTCCCCTTTCCTCCTTGCCAAGGGACTGCCCCTTTGGGTGAGGGGTACAGACTTTGGGACTGGTGTGGGCCAGGCTCCCCAGAGGTCCTCCCAGC